TCCAACACCCCCCCCCCCCCCCCCCCCCCCCCAAAAAAGCATGTTAGAGCGGAGACTGCTCACGAAGATCTTACATCAGATTCAGTTAAGAAGATGAGATTGTAAAGACATACGAAATGGCCCCAAGAAGTTCGTTCAACAAAACAAAACAACAAAAACAACAAAAACACCAACAACAACAGCAGCAAAACCCAGTAGAGAGAAACAGAAAAAGAGACAGACCAAAGAAACGACGGACAGATGACGCCACATAATGTACCGGTACCGAAAAAACTTTCGCAGAGACCCACGCCCTTTCTCGTGGACAGAAAACGTGAAAACGTCAGCAGATACACAGCTCACCAGTGCCTTGTGCTGAACTCTCCTCTTCATGCTAGAGGTAACTTCATGGCATCTGTGCTGTACAGGCACATGTGGTGAAGCAGTTAGGCCCTTTACTATTGATCTCAGATTCAGAAGACCTGGGTTCGACTTCCATGTGGGGGAACATTTTTTCTCGAATACATTTGTATTGTCACGGGACCATTGTGAAAGAGATGCTTGAAGGAAAGATGTGGGGCAGGAGAGCCAGAGGAAGGCAAAGAACAACATGGATGGACACCATAAGGACATCGACTGGCCTGGATATGGCAGAATGTGCAACGGCAGCCTCGCGACCGTGAAAGATGGAGGGTCGTTACACGTCAACCTCTGAATCGGAGGTGACACCTCCAGGTATTCAGGTATTTGTATTACCGCCTCATGTCTGCGGGGACGTTGTACATGTATCCTTTTCAGCCCGGCAGGACGAAACAGCTCGCCACCTAAGTGGTTTAAATTGTGTTGATGGGGGCGTAAAACACTGACATTTTTCTTAAAGATGTCATGTGGCGCATCGCTAGACTCTGCATCTTGCTCGAAGGTGACGCGTTCTCCAATCTCGCAAGTAGAGAAGATATTTGATTCATTCAGCTTCTTTGTCTTTGCCTGTGGAATGCATCCCCCCCACACACACATAGTCACTACAGGCCATGCCAAGTAGGAATGAGACAAACTTCTTTTTTTGATGACCTAAATGTCGTCGATGGAGGCCTTAATTGCTTAATACCATATACAGGAAGAATGCGTGACAACTTGAGACCTGAGTGTGAGAAGAAAAAGGCCGTATCGTGAATCGAAAGTCTCGGCCGACTACTTAGCGTCCATGTTTCAGGACACGACCACACCGGTTGCTAATGCACTCCGCTACAACTGGCACAGGGGGTACTTAGCCTCGCCGAGTTGGGACTAACTCTTCCCCCTCCCCTCTCTCCCTCTCAACACCCCCTCCCTTTTTCATTCCCCCTCTTCCTCTCAA